CTTTTATTGGAGAGATGCACACCAACACTAAGGAGGCTCTATTGGCAGAAATGCAATATAGTAATGAACTATGTCATTGGAACCATTATGTTTTCGTTAACTTAGAATAAGCCTTTTAAATCTACAGACGCCACAGATTACCGTCCATGGAGTCCACAATGTTAAACTACTGCTTCTACAGTAGTGGGTTTTTTTGCATGATTTGTGGCCACCATAGTTAGTTCTTCACAAAGGGAGCTGCAATCTGCAACTACTAGGTATGTAAAGATATATTCTTGTATTCTGATTCACCTAAACAACCAGTTAGTCTAGAGTGAGTGTCAGATGTATCAGCTATTTGAGTTGAACCAGATTTTTGGCATTAAATAGTCATCATGGTATCGTGGAGAGACTGAAAGTGATTCAGCCTGAAAAGACAAGCACGTCCATCAGTAGGAGAAATTTAACACTAACCATTATTTTCTGTCAAATAAATATGAATATCATAGATCACATCTGTGTAGCATTTGGGATATATAAGTATGCTAATCAATCAGTAAAGTAGACACTTACACTTATTTTAGTGGCTTCTCTTGGAGTGACCTGAAAAGAGAAAGCATTGGGAATCACATGTACACATGTTTATCACTTAACAAAACATCAGCTGTTATCAGCTGCTTATTACAAGATGCACATTACTGGCACTATATTTTTCTTTCATTTGGTGGGATAGAGCAAACGACATGAGCAGAGCTGCTCACGTGCATTCCTCAAAGACGCCATTGATAACCGCTCCCTCTCCTTTTTCCTCTCCTCTATTTACCATCGCTGCATGTTTTAATGTGCTTAAACCGCACAGGAAATGCTGCAGATGCGATTGTTCCTGACTCCTCAGACGACTGAAAAAGACTGATTTGTCATGCTGAAGGGAAAGGTAATTCCTCTCATGGAGGATTTAGGCAGCTGACCTGAGAGAACTGTAATGGTATTGATCACCAACAAGCACCCTTTCTGCAGTCGGAGTGACATCCCGGGTAATGCACATGCTCCCTTGCTTTCTGTCTGATGGTGAGCCAGGGTCAGATACATATCATGAGGATGTTATGATAAGCTGATAAACTCCATGAAATGTGGCTTTATCTCCCAAAAGTAAGAGGTTCAAATACTGGTGATTCTTACTTTAATAATGGAGAACACACTGAAGACTGAATATATTGTCTGCATCAGGCTCATATAAAGGAAGAATATACAAATATTTACAAATGTAGACCAGTGTGAATGCATACATGCAGAGAGTACAAATGTTGATTGCTGGCAGGTTTCCATGGTAGAAGTGAACTAAAACTGTACATATTATCAGATTTTTAGCTGCTGGGTAACATAACGTGCTTCAAAGATGTAGTGGTTCAGTTACCAGTATTTGTTCCAAAAAATATGTACAGGTTAGGTCATGTAGGGCAGATGTAGCATAAGAATGTAGCAAACAACACACAGGCTAGAGCTGCACAATTAATTAAAATATTATCAAAATCACAATATGTCAAAATCACAGGGGCTGCAATTCATTGATAAAGGTATAATGTGTGACAAAACAAGATTATGATGATGTTCTGATGCCCTGGTCTACAAATATTGGTGTCCAGATTTAAGGTATTTAAGGTTTGTTTGGTACAGACTGGAAAAAAGGTAATCATAATTTTTTTCAGCGAAAATTTAATTTTGATGCAAAAATCATCATTCCCACTAACCATGAATGATATCGCAATCGCAGTATCTTTCAAAATAATCGCAATATTATGTTTTTACCATATCGTACAGCCCTAAAGCAGGAACTCATTGGGACCTGAGTTCTTATGGTCTATCTGTTGTCAATGCAGTTACCTTGGCGCTGTTGGCTGGAGCACTGATCTGCAACTCATGAGGCAGTTCTTTAGGTACATCCTCCTTCAGGTACCACCATTGGATCTCCAGAGACATGGGCGCTGAGCTGACCGCCTTGAAGGCACAGGGCATCTCTACATCATCTCCCTCCCCCACACTCACATCTTTAGGGACTTCAGTAAATGCAGCTTTGGTAGATGAAAGCAAGACAGCAGAAGCACAGATTAATGAACACCTTTCCTAAACCTAAAACAGTCTGACCTATGGATTGGCCATCATGCAGACTTCCTCGATTTTAAGCTCTTCTCCTATAGCCCCTGTCAACTGTGATTTATAGCCTGAAATTGTTTTATCAGAGCATCTGTGAGCTATAATCTATCTCAGGCTTTATTTGATCAAATAATGGAAAGCAGTTCTCTATGCTTTTTATAAAACTAATGTGGGCACGTTCGTTTTGACTGTCCCCCCCCCCATTGTACAGTAAAAATGCACAGGCTTAGTTTTAACACTAGCAGGATGCATGTTTAATCCCGCAAACAGCTGGCGTGTATTTTAAACCCCAGTTTTTTTAAAAGCCACATTCTATTTTCGACGTCAAAACATGTATCTCAGTGCCCGTCTGCTTCCTCTCTGAGCTCCACTTACCATTCGCACAGTGCATGAAGGGCGAATTGAGAATGAAGTAATAAAGGAGGCTGAAGAGGCCCGTTTTTTCCATGTCACAGTGAGGCTCGTCACATTAGATGGTCGGTTGACCTGGACGTGGAGCGTCCTGTTAACTGCCTACTCAGATAGAGCCGAATATGGGCATAGAAGAAGCGCGAGCCAGAGGCAGCCACCGCATCAGCCGGGCAACATGTACGATCCGAAGGTGAGCTCGAGCATAATTACAACCACACGTCAGTGCAGAAACAAGAAGAACCAGAGTTATTCTAACAGTCAAAGTAATCCCTCTCCGAAAAAAAGCGACGTCCCCCTTTATTCCCCGCCGAGCGTCGTCTGGAAGTGAAAACCGAACTTCCCTGTCTTCATCATCACCCCGCTCCGGGCTCCGCTCCAACACCCATCACATAACTTACCCTGATACGGAGGAACGACTGCTGGGAAAGACGCGCGTTTGTCCGCGGTATATCCGCTCTCTCCGCTCTGGCTGCTGTCACAGACCTGGAGCCTTTCCACGGATTGGTGTGAGTCGCGAGCGCACACCAGGAGGAGGGGGCGCGAGCAGCAGAGATGCGCCCTCCCCCATTCTGTGCTCTCTCACTCGCTCTCCCCTCTATCAGTTGATAGTGGAAACAGATTTTTATGATGACATTGATTAAGAAGCAGAATTGAATGTGGATTGGTTCCGATCATGGCAGATGCCTGATCTACTTAATAAGTTTAGTATCTGCGGTATGCTAAGATTTACCAATAAGCATCAGTGTACTGGCATAAAAGTGTTGCAGCCTGTAAATGAGACCAGGCTCTACTAGAGACTAAAACATAAACCAGTAATTGGGAGGAAACCCCACTAGCTTTATTTTAAAGGAGCCTGATCCAAAATCAAAAAGAACATTTGTTTTCGTTTTAGTTTAAGAGGGAATCAGCTTGGTGCAACAATCCAGTGACTGGCTCAGCAGTTTCCCTCTCTTTTGTTCTTTTTGGCTGGGATCTCCAACCCCTAATTAGGGACCGAGCCAGTATCCACTGGGAGGTCCCTATTGTTTTTGCTCGATTTCTTATTACCTATTTAGGGACCGAGCCAGCGACCGCTGGAGGTCCCTGTTGTATTTGCTATGTTTTTTTATTATTAGGGCCCGAGCACTGACCATGCGGAGGCCCTATTGTAATTGAAAAGGTTATTATTAGGGCCCGAGCACAAACCGTGCGAAGGCCCTATTGTATCTCTAGGAATTATTATTGTCTGCGCCTTCGACTGCATATTTGGAGGTCGCAACATGCTCGAAAAGTCAGGAAAATTTGCACAAAATTCAATCATTCGAGAACTCGACGTATGCAATTGTCCCCGTGCACGGGCGCCGCCAAATGGCTAAGCCCCGCCCCCCCGAATCAGCCCCCAAGACGCGTAAGGCCGACATGTACAAAAATCAGTATGCATGTTTATCGTGATAAAAAAAGCAGAAAAGCCTTTTGGACCCATACCCCAAACCCAACAGGAAGTCAGCCATTTTGGATTTAGCGGCCATTTTTGGCGATTTGCACACATTGTATTTGAACAAACTCCTCCTAGGGAATTGATCGGAACAACTTCAGATTTGGACACAGCCATTTAAAGACATTCACAATTAAAAGTTGTGCTATTTACGACATTCTGTCGAAAAGTGTCCCTGTGGCGTGGCATGGAATTTCAACGACTCGCCATGAAAGAGGGATTTGTCATAACTTCTGCGTACATGATCTGATCTCACCACGAAAACTTCACACGGTGTTGATACAGAGTCCCTCCTGAAACATGCTCTGTGATAATAAATCAAGTAATAGTGAGAGTGCCAGCCTATGGTCCGAAAGAATGTCATTTTATAAGCTTTTATCTAATCTATCTATGCTATCCTAAGTCTTATGCTTACTCTATCTATCTACACACCTTCTATCTATCTAATCTATCTATCTATCCTATATATAGGTATGATATATAATAAATATATAGCCACCCCTCACATCAATACGTAGTCCGATGAATAATACTCATTATACTATATCCATAGTATATAGTGATATGATAATAAATACTATACAACCAAAAATATATATATATTAGGTACTAGCTACTATATATATATATATATAGCTACTTAGTACTGATATACGATAGTCATAATCTAGACACTATATAATACGTACGTATAGCTAATATATAGTAAGCTATATATGCGCCGATATAACTAAAATATCATATAGCTATATAATATGATCATAGGAACTAAATATATATATGACTACCTATATATAGTATAGATATATACTATATATACTATAGGTTTATACATGCATCATAGATATATATATATATAATGCGATATATAAATATACATACTATATATAATATATATGACTATATATATACGTATATGGAATATATATAGTATATCGTTAATATATATACGCGTATATATACTTGTATCATATACTAATATACTATAATCAATATATAGTTATAATATAATTATATAATCACACTACCTATATTATATATATAACATATATAAGAGTTATATAGTATATCACGTAGTATATATAAATATACTACACCATATATATACCTACGGCAATATATATATATATGATATATATCAGATATCATATGACGTAGCTATATATATATGATCATATACTTAGATGACTCACAGATAGCTACTAGCTCACAAATAAAAATAAAAAAAAAAAAAAAACATAAAAAAAAAATAAAAAATAGATATAATTAGAAATACTATAATATGATAATATAGTATATGATAGATATATATATATGATAGATATATATATGATAGATATATATATGATAGATATATATATATATACTATATATATATATATAATATATAATTATATATAGAGAGAAAGAGAGAGAGATATATATATATATATAAATATATATATATATAAATATATTATATATTATAGATATATATTATAGATATATATAGTAGAGTATATAATAGAGTATAAATATATATCTATAGATATATATAATAGATATATATAATAATAATCAGTATAAGATATACTATGAAGATAAGATAAGATTATATCCTATATATATATATAGTATATATCTATATAGAATACTAGCATAAGATATATATATATATATATATAAAGATATATATCCGTATAGAATAATATCATATAATATATGAGAGAGATATAAATATATATATGAATATAGAAAGAGAGTACAATCATAAATATATATATATATATAGAAGAGGAGATATATAATATATATAGAGATATATATAAGATATGAGATATATATAGAGATATAAGAATATAGAATATACTCATCCTTCCAGCAGATTGACCTGATCCAGCTGAAATTCTGTCAGAGGTTCCTAAGGACGATGACCTTGTCCTAATTTAAACCAGTCTAATGCATGCTCTTGAGGCATTTTTCACATAAGGAAACCCTAAAAATGTTCCTTAGCCTTGACTATGCCTGTACTAACTGCTACAGTAGCACTCCTAAGGAAATTAAAACTAAAATTCAAACAGCTCAAAATAAACTTGTCAGGGTGATATTGAACCTGGACCCCATCTCACATTAGCAATTCCCAACTAAAGGAATTAAAATGGTTGATAGTTGCAAATAGGGTAAGGCAGCTGAAATTGAGACTTGCATATAAGATTTTGCAAGGTGTCGTTCCAAGATATTTTAAGCTATGTAGCGACTCTCGTGGCTATTTAACTAGAGGCAGAGGTATATGCGCATTTGTCAGTGTTTGACCAGGTATAGATGTATCTATTTGAGATGTTGTAACATGTGTATCTAATCAAGGTAAAAACAGATTTATCACACATTAATTCTGCGTGGATTTGTGTAAGTGAAGAAGGCCATTGCCAATGATTTTTGTATCTGTATAAAAGTACTGATTTAATACACTTTATCACATATATTCAATTGTATAGCGCCAATTCATAACAGAAGTTATCTCAGGACACTTTTCAAATGTCCTTCAGGTCTAGACCGAACTCCTTTTAACATTTACAGAGACCCAACAGTGCGAGAGAGCGAGAGAGCGAGAGAGAGAGAGATTTTTTTGAGGGTTCTCAAACTTAAATTGGCTTGTGGCCACTGCTGTTATTGTCAGCTCATAGGAGGGCCACTTCACATCATTCAAGTAGTACAAGAAAGCGCAATATTCTGAAAATATCTGTTCTTACAAACATACTTAATTGCAAACTGTACTTCCCAGCTGTAACTGATCCAATAAAATTTCTAAAAACATTAAGTATTTTATGTGTCAGGCTTCAGAGGTTAACCCTCCATTTCTACCCTGAAATGAAAACTAAACTGCCAACTTAAAGGGTACAAGATTTTTATATGCAATGGTTCCATTTGCAAATCATTTCTACCCATTAGATCCCACCCCATTATTTTTTCCAGTGTTGGTACCATGTTACCACTGCAGTGCTGTCTTTTGATCCACACATAAAAGCTGCTTTTACATTCTGGCTCATTACAATTCTGACCTTGGTCAAGGATACGCTGTCCAATCTCCATAAGTCAGCTGCTTGGAGGTGAACATTATGAGCAGCCATTAAAATACAACTACCCCCACCACCACCACCTCTTCTCCCAGTCCAGCCAGCACCTCCTGGTGATGGATTGGGCCCTATTGATTCCCCCAACGCTTCCAACACTCAGGTAGTTTGTTACCATTAAACAGTCTCTGCAAAGGATGGAATCGGAGGATGGGAATGGCAAGATGGGGAGGGGAACTGGGGGTGTGTGTAGAAGGAGGACATGTGCACAGACTGATAGAAGTGAGACACATGATGCTACACATGCTAGTGTGTGCTGATCATGTTCAGTGTAGCCTGGATAATAGGATAAGCCTTCTGGCAGGCCTGGAAGTCAGTGAGCAATCAATGTCAATGCACCAATCAAATCCACTACTCACTCCCTCTCCCCTTCTTTTTAGTTCTCACTCATCCTCTTATTTTATTTATCTCACGCACACATTGCCTCTCCCTTTCTCCTATTGTCTTTTCCTAGCTCCCCTTCACTCTGTCTGCTCATGCCTACCCACAATCACACAGATTTTCTCACATACATTGCTCCTCAGTCTCATGCCCGCACACTGAATATGACTTATGACTGGTGAACTGGGTATGTTTGAGTTTTCACAAGGTCACTTTAAGCACAGCAACAGTTATTTTCTACCATACTTTCATTTGTGTTAACCCAGACTACACATATACTGTCAGGATGGTGTCACTTGAGTTTAGATCAAAGTGTTCAGTATTAAAGGTCTAGTGTATAATGTTTAAGAAGATTTATTGTCAGAAATGGAATATAAATATTAATAGGTATGTTTTCATTAGTGTATAATCACCTGACAATAAGAATCTGTTGTTGTTTGTTACATTAGAATGAGGAATTTTTATCAGTCCAAAGGCACAAACACTGGCTGTAGATTTCCGTAGTTTCTCCTTCACACTTTGAA